TGAGGGCTGGCGCCCCGCACCTCTCAGAGCTCCAAGGACGCCAATCCTTCCAATTCATTCCCCATTTTTTCATGTATGTTCCTTGGTAATGTACCTATGTTTCATAGTTGTTTTCAACACTTCAAGGTACGTCTAAACGTTAAGAACTCATCCATAAACATGTGATCATATACATTGAATCTATAATCCAATTCAAGGCGAGTTAGGATCAAAGTCAAGTGAAGTTAGAAGTCAAGTGAAGTACAATCAAGCTTAGAAGTTAAGAGGTAAGTCAAAACAAGTCTTTAAAGTTTTGCAAGAGTCTTTATTGAACGTTTTAACTTCATTTTAAGGCTCAAGTTTCAAGTTGAATAAAGAGCATAGAGTTTCAAGTTAAGTAAAGAGAATAGAGTTTCAAGTTAAGTAAAGAGCATAGAGTTTCAAGTTAAGCCAAGAGTAAAAAGTCAAGTTCATTTCTCAAAAGTTATTAGGGAACTAAGTATTCCCAAAGAAGTTTATAAATGTTTTCACATTTAAGATGAGAGGAAACTGAGATTTCTAAAAGGAGTTTTGAGCGGTTTGAGTACTATCTCTTTTTAAGAAAAGATGAGTTTTGCGAAAGAGTTTCTAAAACATGATTAGTATGATAATCGAGTATGTCATCAATGTTTAAACAGTATGGTCTCTAGATATACCATCAATGTTTATGCAGTATGATTTCCCGAGTTATCAATGATCATAGAAAAATATGGTTTTGATATGTTCTTTTTAGAAAGAGTTTTCAAGAGCAATTACCCCTTTTAAGAGGGAAGTTTGAGCAATTATTTCAAACTAAAGAAAGATATGTTTAAAACACTTACGAGCTAAAGTATTTTTGGGAGTAGTCTTGAGCACCGAATTGGGGACACGAGTTCATATTAACTCAACTCTCCATAAGAACCATGTAGCCAAACATAGGATTTGAAGGGTCATACTTTTTAGATGATCACGTAAAGTTAAGCTAGTGGATCCACTAAGTTAAAGTTAAAGTAAGGTCCTATATCACGGCAAGGTATAAGATGGTCCTTGGGCAACGTGAGGTAAAACGTTGTATCACCACTTAAGCATGTAGTGGTGGCTTTCGGTTAAAGGAACTCCCACAGAAGAAATTGCATGGTTCCTCGAGGGGTTCTGCTTAGTATGGATGAGGGTATGAGACTTCATTCATGCATTGCACAAGTAGACTTTGAGAGGAAGCATAGTATTTTTATGATATTATAAATATGATTTTGACGTCATGTTTTAAATAGTTTTACAAGCTTTATATATATTGCATGTGTGCTTTATATTGAGTTCAGTTATTCTTGAGTTGAACAGAGCCAAGGTAAGTTCTCTTTTGTTTCCCTTTCAAGCTTAAGTTGTTGTTAGCGGTCCAGCTCGCATACTCGTACATTTCATGTACTGATGCCAGTTGGCCTGCATCTTATTATGATGCAGACGCAGGTACCCAGGATCATCATTCAGCAAGCCGTTGATCCAGCTGAGCACTCCAGAGTCAGTGGTGAGCCTCCTTGCATTCCGGAGGACTCTGTTATTTTGTGTTCCTAGTTTTGTTATTAGGATGTTGTGGGGTCTGTCCCAACATATATCTCAGTATTATAGAGGCTTCATAGACAGTCAGTCAGTTAGTGTTGAGTCTCTCATCTGTATATATGTAAATATTCTATTTTGAGACTCGAGTTGCCTTTTTGGCCAGATTTTATCAGTTAAGTTGTCTTATGACCTTTTGTTGCATGGAGTTTTCTATTGAGTTAGGTTTCCGCTGAGTTAAGAAGCCAGGCCAAGGGTTCGCTTGGGGGCCAGAAATGGTCTTCGAGTGCCGGCCACGTCCAGGGTGTAGGCTCGGGGGATGTCAAACTTGGTATCAGAGCACAGAGTTCCAAAGTCCTAGGGAGTCTATGGAGCCGTGTCTATAGAGTCCTAGTTATCGATGTGAAGCGCGCCACATCTATAATTAGGAGGCTGCAACATTTAGGAAGATTTCTCACTTCTTTCACACTCATCTCGTGCGTTAGAGTTTATCTCCAAAAAGTTTCTTTCTAATTAGTGCTTACGCGTGTTTTCAGAGGATTTTGCCTCCACGAAGAATAGTCAGAGTTTGTCCAGCTATGAAGAGTGTTGAGGAACAAGAGTTACCAAATGCCCTAGAAGTGCAAACCCAAGAAGAGATCAAATATGCTGATTTTCGTGAAGCTATCCGGATGTTAAGTCAAGTTGCGACCTTTCATGTTGGGCAGAGATCTAATCGACACGAAGTGGTTGATACTTCAAGGATCCGTGAACTCTTAAGGATGAACCCACCAAGCTTCACAGGTTCAAGTATTAGTGAGAATCCAGAGAACTTCATTGAGGAGCTTAAAAAGGTATTTGATGTGATGCATGTTGCTGAGTCGGAGAGGGTGGAACTAGCTGCATACCAATTGAAGGTTGTTGCTAGAATCTGGTTTGACCAATGAAAAAAGAATAGGGCTGAGGATGCGCCAGTAGTGAGTTGGGTTGTGTTTGAGAGTGCTCTCATGGGGCGTTTCTTTCCTCGTGAGTTGCGTAAGGCAAAGATAAAAAAGTTTCTCACCCTTAACCCGGAGTCTATGAGTGTTCATGAGTACAGTCTGAAGTTCACTTAACTTTCCCACTATGCTCCGGAGATGGTTGCGGACATGAGGAGTAGAATGTGTTTATATGTTACTGGGTTATCGTTAGTCAAGCAAGGCAGACAAGGCATCTATGATGATAGGGGATATTGACCTAGCAAGATTTATGATCCATGTACAACAAGTTGAGGATGATAAGTTGAAGGATTGAGAAGAGTTTAAGGATAAGAGAGCTAAGATAGTAGGGGACGAGTTCAGGCAGCAAAAGAATGATGCTAACCAATCATCCCTCCCACAGAAACAAAAGGGACCTGCTTCACCATTTGCTAGTGCACTTGCACCTGAGAACAAAGATGGGTACAATAGAAATTCCTATAGTTTCAGGGCTAGACTTGCCTATCCTCAAGGCAGTATGGTGCCAAGGGGTAGTAAGCCTTCTGCCTGCGCCAAGTGTGGTAGGAACCACTCAGGTATTTGTCGTGAGGGCTCCATTGGTTGTTTCAAGTGTGGTCAGAGTGGACATTTCATGCGAGAGTGTCTAAAGAACAGGCAAGGTAGTGGAAATCTGAGCAATAGGGCCCAAGCTTCATCAGTTGCTCCCCCAGACATGATGGTACCTAGAGGAGCTACTTCTAGTACTGGCGGAGGAGCAAACCACCTCTACGCAATCAACAGTTGCCAAGAGCAAGAGGATTCATCAGATGTTGTCACTGGTATGATTCGAGTCTTTGACTTTGTTGTTTATGCTTTGCTAGACCCCAGAGCGAGTTTATCTTTTGTAATTCCTTATGTTGCTATGAACTTTGATGTTATACTTGAGCAACCTAGTGAGCTAGTCATAGAGTGGAGTAGTAGTTCAGCAGTGCCTAGGGTTGTTTCATTTCGTACCTCAAGGCGAGAAAGTTAGTTTCGAAGGGTTGTATCTATCACTTAGTCCGAGTAATGACTCTAGTGTTGAGATACCTCATTTTCAGTCAGTTCTTATAGTAAGAGAGTTTTCAGAAGTTTTTCCTGATGATCTACCCGGAATTTCTCCTGAGAGAGAAATAGACTTTGGTAATACATCATTCCAGATACTTGTCCTATCTCTATTTCGCCATATAGAATGGCACCAACAGAGTTGAAAGTGTTGAAAGAGCAGTTAAAGGGATCTAGTAGAGTAAAGAGAATAGTTGTCCATCCCCTACAACTATAAATAGGGGATGAACATAACATTCTTGGAGCATCAAGAAAACCCTTCAACAAACATTCTGCAAGGATTAGAGAAAGCTACAACACCAACTACATAGCTCTTCGAAGGAGTGGTCAACGGAGTTCTTCCCGGAGATCGATGTGAAACGACGAACTGCATCCTGACGTTCCTGGAGATCAAACACATCTCAAGGAGGTCTACAACATCCTGCATTTGAGAATTACGCTACTGACAACCCTCAAATCACGGAGAAACTTAAGAGAGAAGAATCAAGAGAACAACAGAATTGTATTCACAACGATTCATCAATAAAAATAACATTTTCTTTTATTTATTTTGCTTGTAGTCAATTTTCAGCTCTTAAGGAAATTTATTGCGAACAGTGGTATACTTTTTTTTTAGAGTCGTTATGACTAAATTGTCCATCATATCTCACATAACTTTTGTGTTACATCCTTCTTTCACCTTTTTTTCCCTTTGACAACCACGTGGTCTTCTAACAATTGTCTTGAAAAAGGAGATTAGATTTCTATTGGTTATATTATTAAGTAAAAAGTACTATAAATTATAATTATTAGTAACTTAAAATATTTAAAAGACATAAAAAAATGATTCACTCTCGAAATCAGATCACAATGATGTAGATCATAATAACAAACATCGTAAAAATTCAAAGGGCATAAGTTTTTTGAAATGATTCTTGAAATTTTATAAGTACAACATAAATTTGAATAGAGGGAGTAACATACATTATTCAAAAATTATGTAAAAGATATTATAAATCACAATAATTAACAATTTAAAATATTTAAAAATCATAAATAATTTGATTGTCTCTCAAAATTTTATCACTACCACATAAATTGAGATAAAATAAATAATATATATTATTTGAAAATGACATAAAAAGTATTATAAATCATAATAATTAACAACTTAAAATTTTAGAAGACATATAAAAACTAAGTTGACTCTTGAATTCTATCAGAGTGGTGCCAGATAGAGAGAGGGCTATTTAAATTACGTAAAGTACCATAAATCTCAATAATTAACAACTTAAAATATCTAAAAATCATATTAAAAATTTGATTGTCTCTTCAAATTCTTTTTATGTCACATAAATTATAATAAAAAAATGATATATATTGAGTCCGTGCTAGCACGAGCACATATATCTAATACTACTACAAGACTATCCTTCCGCACTAATCAGAAGCCGCTGCCTCTTCCTTTGGTTGGAGGTTCCTAAAAATGATAACAAAACAAAAAATTATTATGTTTTCATGATTACCAAAATGATGTAAAAATGATTTATTTGTCTAAGTGAGTAATGAAACCTATAGCGTAGCCAACGAGAAAGTTGGTAGAGTTGGACAGATTCATTAGCAGCATGGCAAGCTAGCAACATATGATTTCTAGGCCTCACCATCCATGCAAATCTCATACACAACATCGAATAAATACACAATACTGCAACCAAACACAAATTAATATTTTATATATAGCTTATCAAGTGACGTGCATCAACAATTTATATTCTATAGATATTTTAATACTCTTTCTATTCCGTTCACATTTATTTGTCACAATTGAATTTACTATAGTTTAAAAAATGGCTCAAAGTTTGAATTCTGACATTTTCTTGGGCTGAAACCTGAATTTGCACTTACGGGATTCAATATATAAAGGGGTAAATACAGAAAGAACATATTTTTAACCATATATAAATAATAGTATAAATTTTTATTGAAGGAGGTTTATCTAATCCCTTTAGCCCTACCTAGCTCCACCCCAGCCAATATAATTCTGCATTGTGTGACCCTGCAGAAATGAATCTACCATGCTTTGGAAAGACACTATATACTCCCTTCGTCTCATAAGTTATAAGATACTTTTTTTTTAGTTTGTTCCAAATAGAATATCATTTTACTATGATAAAAAATAATTTAATTCTAAAATTCCTCTTTTTTTCTTAATAAAATAATTTACAACCACACAAATATTTAATGATTGTTCTAAATCACAAATTTCAAAAATCTTACTCTTAACCATCGTATCAAGTCAAAAGATATCATATAAAATGAGACAGAAAGTATATGTTATAGCTAACTCACCTGCAGTCATGTTGCCAGATATCGCGTCTGGGGGCTTTTTTGTATCCATCATTCCCTAACACAATCATTTGTGAATATTAATTTCAGAAATTTTCTGTTCAACTTTAATAGTAAGATCGATCGAGATTCGCTTATGGATCTCGATCGATCGATCGATTATCAATATATGTTACATAAAAATGATGATCCATATAGGAAAGGGTACATACAGAGATGACAAATCCCCAATTGGCCATAGGACCCCAAAAGTGAGTTGTTTTAGGACCCATTGGACTATTCAAGTACGCTCGGACGGATTCCATCACATATATCTATGCTTTCTGCATATACACAATTCAAATTATTCACCAAAACACATATACGCTGTGGGAAAAATTATGAGAGACCAATGTTCAAATTTCAGCAAAAGATTTAAAAAAATATTTTTTTAATCTGTCTAAACCTTGGTGTAACCTAAAATCCATGGTGGTGGAATACATTATGTACCTGATGAATTAGTCAAGATGTGTCCAATCTAATAGTTGTTGAATCCTGGATATAGAGAAAATTAAATTAAATTGGAAAATCTTGCAAGGAATGGTACGAAGAAATTACTAATTAAGGAAATTGAATTGCCTAAAGTACTAATATAAAAAATAAAAAAAAGACACGTTCTACTTTTGTGGAAACTTAATTTGATAAAACCAAAATAAGATGAAAGGGCTTACCAAATTGTGTCAATATGCATAAGAGACGTACAAGGAAGAGCACTTGAAACGATGGTTGATTAATTAGTATCAGTGAATATATAGTAGGAGACGGAGAAGCATGAGGCTATTTTAATTTATATGTTGGGATTTGCGAAGGTAGGCTCTACTCAGTGTTAATTACTCCTATATTCCATACTGACGGAACTTTGGAGTCTTTTTTACTGGTCAAAATAATTAAAATTTTCAAAGTTCAAGATGGATGTTTAATTTCTTTTTCATAAATGTCCTTTCATTTATCAATGTTTTATATTTTCTAAAAGAAAAATTACACTATTTACAAAGTTATGATTTTACAAAGGACAATAGTGTAAAATATGATTTTAATTATGTCCTTGAATGTTTTTTCTTAATATGTGTGCATTACCTTACAAATTCAATTAATACGGAATAGAGGGAATATTAATTAGCAGATTCTGAATTTAAATGTTTTGAGTTCTAAATCAAACGTGATTTTTTTAAAAACATTTATAAATATATACTCATATAATTTTATTTTTTACGTAGTTTTTTATTTGGCATTATACATAAATACACCCTTTAACCTGGCTTCAGCTGACATCTATTGCCTTTAATTTTGGGGCACACAAGTAGACACTTAAATTCGTATAAAATTGAACAAAATAGGCATATGCGTCCTACGTGGCATAATACACATTGGACACAAATTTTCATTTAGAACGCTACATATAATGCACGTGTCTATTTGTTTAATTTTATACAAATTCAAGTGTCTATTTATATGCACTCAAAATTGAAGGACATAAATATCAACTTAGACCAAGTTAAAAGATACGTTTATTTATTATGATTTTATTCGAAGCACTAAAGTTAGATTTGCTACCCGGGCTATACTCTATAGTAGAGAGGAAGAGGCATGAATGAATCATTCATTACGTTACGGCTGCCTAAATCAGAGGGCGTATCCAGGAATTCGTCAAGATAGGTGCACGAATACGAAAAAATGCATTTTAAATATAAATTTGATAAGATTGACTTTTAGGTTCTTAATATGAATCATTAAATTTTAAAAATTATAGGTCCAAAATATATAATACTATTAGTTTTAAATTTTAATATATACATTTGATTTAATTATATAAAAATCTTATAGTGCAAAGTTTTTTAGGAACTTCCAATGTAAGACACTTGAAAATTTTGAAAGATTAAAGTGAAAAAACAAAAGAAAAATTAGTTGAAACGTCAAAAGTATAATCGATAATCACTTGGGGGGGTGTTACTCAAAAGGACAAGATAGATATAAGACTTAAATTTTTATCATTACTTAGAGAGGTGCAAATCATTATTATATTATTATATGATACTTTAAACATGGATTTACACATTTATATTTAAATATTTTTTAAAAATATAACACTATTATATATGATCTAGAGAGGAAAGCACGTGAACCACAGCAGCCCCTCTGAATACGCCCCTAGCTGCCTTGGCCTAAAAAGTCATCCTCATGACTCAGACGTTTTTTGTTGTTTTGTAATTGGAAATATCTTTGGTCGTCTATCAAGATATTATAACCACATATATATATAAAACAAGGAATTAATTTTTCTTTTCTGGTAAATTGGGAGGCAAATTTCTAGCCTAACCTTTATTTCATGTTTTTCCAAATGGATTACATTGCCAAACTTTTGGCCAAATCTCAACATCTTTCTTGTTGAACTGACAAATTATCACCCAATTTTCGATAAGTGGATTCAAAATAATAAAAAATAATAAATACATGAATAAATCAAGAAATTCAACAGTTATTATACATAACACATATAAGATAATTTAACCTTTATATGATAACTTTTTGTCATTCAACATTTATTATACATAACACATATAAGATAATTTAACCTTTATATGATGTAATTTTTTTGTCAAACCTTTTAATTCATGTATAGGATAAAAATAATTGTGACATGTGGCCCAACTGAATCATAATACGTGGATAGTGATAAGAATCACACATGGTAAAGAAGGACGAGATACATAGACGAATCACAGAGACACATGGAAACAAGTCAAGACGGTGACATTGTACCAAACCCGGGCGGAGCTATGACATGGCAAGGGTGGTCAGATAAACAACCTTCGTCGGAAAATTTTTATGGGTATATATACTAAATATCGAGTTTTTTTGGATATATACTAACTGTTAAACAACCTTGACACAATAAAGGTTGACAGCCCAGCGGTTAAGGATGTGCAAAGATGCCTCAGCGTTCCGGGTTCAAGCCCAAGTGTTGGCGTTTTCTTTAATTCTTTTCATTAATTTTTCCGTTTGTTCTCTTAGAAAAGAAGATCGGTGTTCAAATTTCAAATAAGAGATTCAAAAAATATTTTTTTTAATCTGTCTAAACCTTGGTAGAATCTAATATCCGTGGTGGTGGAAGATGTCATGTACCTGGTGAATTAATCAAGATGCTCCAAACCTAATAGTTGTTGGATCCTGGATATATAGAGAAAATTAAAATTAATTGGAAAATCTTGCAAGGAAGGGTAGGAAGAAATTACTAATTAAGGAAATTGAATTGCCTAAAGTACTAATACAAAAAAAAAAGAAAAAAAAAAAAGACATGTTCTACTTTTGTGGAAACTTAATTTGATAAAACCAAAATAAGATGAAAGGGCTTACCAAATTGTGTCAATATGCATGAGAGACGTACAAGGAAGAGCACTTGAAACGATGGTTGATTAATTACTATCAGTGAATATATAGTAGGAGATGGAGAAGCATGAGGCTATTTTAATTTATATGTTGATTTGAGAAGGTAGGCTCTACTCAGTATTAATTACTCCTATATTCCATACTAACGGAATTTTGGAGCCTTTTTTACTGGTCAAAATAATTAAATTGTTCAAAGTTTAAGATGGATGTTTGAATTTTTTTCCATAAATGTCCTTTCATTTATCAATGTTTTATATTTTTTTAAAGAAAAATTACACTACTTACAAAGTTATGATTTTACAAAGGACAATAGTGTAAAATATGATTTTAATTATGTCCTTGAATGTTTTTTCTTAATATGTATGCATTACCTTACAAATTCAGTTAATACGGAATAAAGGGAGTATTAATTAGCAGATTCTGAATTTAATTGTTTTGAGTTCTATATCAAACGTGATTTTTTTTTAAAAAACATTTGTAAATATATACTCATATAATTTTATTTTTTACGTAGTTTTTATTTGGCATTATACATAAATACACTCTTTAACCTGGCTTCAACCGACATCTATAACCTTCAATTTTTGGTGTGCACAAGTAGACACTTAAACTTGTTAAAATTGAACAAAATAGACATATGAGTCATATGTGACATAATACACGTTCGACACAAATTTTCATTTAGAACGCTACATATGATGTCTATTTGTTCAATTTTATACAAATTCAAATGCCTACTTGTATACACTCAAAATTGAAGAACAAAAATATCAACTGAAACTAAGTTAAAATATACGTTTATGTATTATGCTTTTATTTCGAAGCACTAAAGTTAGATTTGCTACCCGGGCTATACTCTATAGTAGAGAGGAAGAGGCATGAATGAATCATTCATTACGTTACGGCTGCCTTGGCCTAAAAAGTCATCCTCATGACTCTGACGTTTTATGTTGTTCTGTAATTGGAAATATCTTTGGTCGTCTTTCAAGTAATCATACAAGGAAATAACTTTTTTTTTCTGGTAAGTTGGGAGGCCAATTTCTAGCCTAACCTTTATTTCATGTTTTTCCAAATGGATTACATTGCCAAACTTTTTGGCCAAATCTCAACACCTTTCTTGTTGAACTGATAAATTATCATCCAGTTTTCAGTTTTCGGTAAGTGGATTCAAAATATAAAAAATAATAAACACAAATAAATTAAGAAATTCAATATTTATTATACATACAATTAAAATAATTTAACTTTATATAAGATGTAATTTTCTGTCAAACCCTTTAATCTATGTCTCATATAAATAATTGTGACATGTGGCCCAACTGAATCATAACACGTGGATAGTGATAAGAACCACACATGGTAAAGGAGAGCGAGATACATAGACGAATCATACATAGACACGTGAAACAAGTCAAGACGGTGGCATTATACCAAAAAGCCTATGATATCCATTCCATAGAACTTACATTGAACTAAGACTTGAAACCCCCGACGGAAAAACTAACAACCGTTATAGCCTTTTTCAAACCGTCTCACAAGCGAAATCGGACTTTATTCTTTGCTCTTCTTTGCTCTTTAATGTCATTAATTACATGGTTTATCATGATGAGGATTAATCATATGTAATTAGCTTCTTTAGAAAATGATCCATACATAAGTGGTGGTAGGATCATCACTTTGTAAAACCTCTAATTATACTTCATTGAGTACTATCATTTTCTTCTCTAGCTATTTCATGACTTGTTTCACATAATTATAGCGTGACTTAGCTTGTACAGAGATATCTCCAATATCGATATAGCTGAAATCAGGCCAACACACGCTATCTCAATTTTTTATTTGTTTATTATATTTGATTCATCATTTAACTTTATCTTTCAATTGTTTTTTGTTTATCTTCTTAGAGTATACGTTTAATAAAATTTTCTGGAGAAATTGTTTAACTGATAAATTATTGTTTATGGAAAAATGTAATGAAAGGAAGAGTACCCATAATCTAATTATAGGGAAATGTGGAGGTCCTCTCTTTTTTGTTTGAATCCTTCGAAGTACTTTTTATGTAATTTTTTTTCAAGTGATAGCTAGCACATAACATGTTCTACTTGTTAATTTTATTTGATTTTATAATAAATATCATGTAGAACATGTACTATATATAAAAAAGGTTTATCTGAAAGTTATTTAGAAAGCAATATATTTTTCCTTTTCTATGAAAAATAATAGCATATAAATCAATATGGGTTTGTGGTGCATTGGTGGGAGTGTTTCACCCTTGACCAAAGGTCTCGGCTTCGAGCCCTGAGTATGGAGAAAATCATGTTGGGAGCGTCATCCCTGAATGAACCCTGTAGTGCGCGATCCCAATTTAATTAGAAATCCAATGTGGACTTCGAAACCCGAGTGCGAAATCAAAAGAAAGAAATAGCCTATGAAGTGACTTTTGATACCATTTGTTTTGGGGAACGTATTTACATCAAGTCACTAAGCTGTTTTATATCTTTTTTATGAAACGATGATAATAAGACATTATATTATTTTGGTGGTAACCCAAATTAATTTTCATTCCTAACTTTAATATCATATGTGAATATTTGTGTAGAGATCTATTCACGAATTTCTTAAGGATACTGATTCATTATTGTGATTTGATTTCAATTTAAATATGTGTAAAATTTGATGTTTGAAATAATTTTCCTCTTAGCCTTAAATTTTTTTAAGAGACTTTTCCCTTATGCAAGAAATTTGTGACATACGTTGTCGCATTAAAATGTATTAATCATATTTCTTATTTTTTGTTCTCGATATGACTAAACGGGAACATGCTTATATTGCTCTAAGTGAGAGTAATACTGAAAGGGGAGCAAAAATGAATTATAGAATAGTGTGTCGTAAACGGATCAAAATAAAAAATAATTTAGATTCTGAGCCTAAAGTGATAAGAAATGACTCGAGGACGCTACAAAATCTGAATAGAGATTTTAAAACAACTTGTGAAAAGGAAGGAAAGAGATTATTTAAGGAGTTCGAAAATATCAAAATGAACTCATACATGACCTTGTACCATATTTTCTTAATCTGTTTTGGATAAAAATAAATGAGATATATGATTGTTACATCTATGTTAAAAATTGGAAGGATTAGACATTTTGTATAGTTCCTTATCAGATTATTGGAGCTGATATTTATCATGATTTTTTCCCCAATGAACCATTACAGAGGTTCATAGTAACTCTTGAAGCTAGATAGTATGACTCCATAGATAAATAGTCTAGTATTTTAAATCTTGTTTTGTTTTTGTAATGACTCTAAAGGTCTATTTTTGAATTTTTTAGAAAATTATCAGGTTACCCCTTTCGGTAGTTGCCCCAAGTTCAAGGTGTGAGTTACTTTAATATTGACCTTCAGACAGGTTATCACCAATTGAGGGTAAGAAAAATGACATTCTAAAGACAGATTTTCGAACATGGTATGATCATTATTAGTTTTTAGTAATGTCTTTTGATTTTATTAATGCCCCGATGACGTTTATGGATTTGATGAATAGGGTCTTTAAGCAATATCTTGATATGTTCATGATTGTGTTTATTGATATTTTGGATTCATGGAGTGATGATGAACATGTTGAGCATTTGAGGATTGTGTTGCAAATTCTCAAGGATCGTGAATTGTATGCCAAGTTTAGCAAATGTGAGTTTTGGTTGAGGCCGCTGCTTTTCTTGGTCATATTGTCTCCAATGAAGGTATTCAAATTGATCCTAAAAAATCAAGGCAATTAAGAATTGGCCTAGGCCTTTGTCCGTCAGATATACAGAATTTCTTGTGTTTGACCAGTTACTATAGAAGGTTTATGGAAGTATTTTCCTTTATTATTTCGCCTTGGAGACATTGGCTCAAAAGAAGGTGATAGGTTTAAAGGAGCTTTCAATGTTCCTAAAAGAATTGAAGCAATGGAGGAGTTATCTATGTTTCAGAAAAATAAAATGGATCATTTTAAATTCAAGATGCAAATGAAGCAGAAAGACATGCCAAAAAGATTTAGTACTCAAGAATTGCATTCAAAACGAGAAGTAAATTTAGTTCACTACAAGCCAAAAGATGAATCTGCAGATTTGTTCGCAAGGTCAATTTTGGTTATCAAGTTCGGAGATCCCAAGATAGAAGACCAAAATTTTGTAATTTCTAAAGCAAGGAGGAGTGTTGAATATTTGTTTTAAAATTGTAAAATTCTTACTGCAGTAGTTTTATTAAAATAGATCTAGTCAACTAATTTGGTCTTTGTTATAAAATATTTGACTTAACAAAACTAAAGTAAAAAGGAAGAACAATAGAGAGAGTATTTGAACATAAACAAAGAGAGAGTGAAATTGCTGTGTATTTTTGTTATATAAATTTGATGCCTATTTATAGGTCAAGGGCATGTGGCAAAGTGTGGCTTGCCAAGTTAACCACACTTTGGCATGAGTGAAACATTTCTACCATGCTAACTCCACATGGCATCCACAATTTTATAACACTCCCCCTTGGGTGTCCATACAAAAGAAAAGTTGAAAGAACAAAAATATACATAGACATTCATAATATGCATTGTTTGTTGCCTCGTTAAAAACCTTATCAAGAAAAAATCCAGTGGGACAAAAATCTTGATTAAGGAAAATAGAGTGCAGCGCGTATTTACTCCCCCTAATGAAAACATCATTTAATATCTAGAAGACGACGCATTCCAATTTTGTATCTCAATTTCTCGAAGGTAGAAGTTGGCAATGCCTTAGTAAACATATCTGCTAAATTATCACTTGAGCAAACTTGTGCGGAACTAGTAGTTGGGGGATTCATGAAAGTGGTAGTGTGGTAGGTGGTAGTGTGGTAGGTGAGTATTTTGTTTTAAAGATTTTATTGTAGTATTCTTTTGCTAAGTGTCTTAATCTTGATATCCCTTTAATTTATTTTTTGGTAGTGTGAAATTCATGGTAAAATGTAATAATATTTATTGTAATATTCTTCCGATAGTTGTTTTAATCTGAATAT